GCCACAGAAGAGTTTGATGCAAAATTTTGCATCGGGTAAGGAGGACACGGAAGTGTTTACAAGGTAAACCTTCCATCATTAGGGAATATTGCTGTGAAGAGACTTCATTCTTCATTTCAGAATACACATCCCAAAAGCTTCATCAATGAAGTAAGGGCATTGACTGGGATTAAGCACCGAAACATTGTGAACCTCTACGGCTATTGTTCGAAAGCACAACACTCACTCTTGGTTTACGAGTATGTGGAGAGGGGGAGTTTGTCTAGTATTTTGAGCAATGAAGTTGAGTCCAAGAAATTGGATTGGCTTAAAAGGGTGAATATCATCAAGGGTGTTGCTTTTGCTTTATCTTACATGCACCAAGATTGTTCACCACCCATTGTTCATCGAGACATAAGTAGCAGTAATGTTTTGCTTGATTCTGAGTATGAAGCTCGTGTTGCAGACTTTGGACTAGCGAAGATTCTCAATCCAGACTCATCCAATTGCACTACACTTGCAGGCACATATGGCTATGTCGCACCTGGTAAGTTTTAAATAGTTCATGAACTATAGCCAAACACTCCATTGTTTTTATCTCATTTACACGTTTTAATTGTTAATATTGTTTTGAAAATTGTATTATTCAGAGCTTGCATATACTATGAAGGTTACGCAAATGTGTGATGTGTATAGCTTTGGAGTATTATCATTGGAGATAGTCAAAGGAAAGCATCTTGGGGAATACATTACTGTGCTAGCAAATTCATCGACTATAGATCCTGAGCAGCTTAGCGATTTGCTGGATGAACGCCTTCCATATCCTGAAGATAGAGTAAAAGATGTTTTGGTTTTTATCATCAAGCTAGCATGCTCTTGTTTGCTTGAAACTCCAAAATCAAGGCCAACAATGCACTTCATTTCTCATAAGTTATCATCAATGGATGCACGTCCACCTATTCATCAGAGAAACCCCCATGTAATGCGAGCTATATAATCCCTGATATGTATGGAAATGAATAACCTTTGTCGCTGAGTGGCTGTGAAGTATTTCAATTGCTGGGATTAGTATTGTTGTATTGTTAGGGTGCTCATTTGGTTTACTCTATTAATATGTATATTGTAAGAGGTAATTATTTAATCTTCTGCTTTCTTTGGCCTTGAGTAAATATCAGGAATTCAAGTTGCTGCATTTTTTTATTTTTGCTTTCGATCGGTCTAGAACATATGCAGGAGCACTAGTTTTAATGATTTACTAGTGTTTTAGTTTTCGACTCTTAACAATTTCCTTTTGGC